TTGAACACCCCACCCTGGCCTTGAAGACTCCAGAAGTCTGCTTTGCTTGCTCTTCATCAGAATCAACAAGAACCTCAACTTCCTGAAAGACTTGGGATTCAAAGGGCCGCTGTGAGTCATCAATCATTTCAAGGTCTGCAGGCGGTAGGTTTCCTTCTGACACACCACTGCTGCCCTGTTCGACTTGTGCAGGACCCTCAGGTGGCGAAGGCTTCACCTCCCTCTTGGGCGACAGGACTGTTTCCTGGTCACTGTCTTCAATCTCGAACACCTCATCCTCATGAATCGCGATTGGGTGAATCTCTGGATCACTCTCGCAACTCTCTTCCTCAGATGACTCTTCACTATAATACTCATACTCAGACTCCTTTTGATCTTCCAAAGGAGCCGCACGTTGCAAAACTCGTTTGTCACTGGGAGTCGCAGTAGGTGAATTGAAGTCAGTCAGCTTTCGGATCGGGGATGGACCCATCTGAGACTCTGCAGATTCCAGGGGCTGTGTCTCGATTGAGTCCATGTTCTTGATCACGGCTTCTTTCTTGGCCATCTGCGTTCGAATGAGAGTCACAAGTTGTCGGGAAATTGCATGATATATAATATTTAACAGACATCATAAATTGACAGTGTTCCAATTCAGAAGAATATATATATTGGGCATCCGTTTATCAAGCCTGGATGGAATTGAAGTCATCATGCATGGTTTTGCACAGTGCAGGGGTCAAGAGGAAACTACTTCATTCCAATTATTTGTTGTTAATTATATAGGTTTTGCAAAGCTATTTATAATAAATAATAATATATCTAAATATATTTGGCATGCACTTGTGCCTCTTCTTGCTTCATCCGGCTAGCTCCTCTTCCCCTGGTGGGAATCTTTTTGCCGTCAGGACTCAACTTCCCTTCGGCCTGAGAGACAGTAGGGCGAAGCTGGGAGCATGAGACTGTTAATTATGGTAAAACTACTATGATATGACATGGCTGGAACATGAAGCAATGCTCTTTTGCTTTGTCATGGCCTGTGCGCATGTATCCCACAGAAGGCATGCATGCAGTGGATGAATTGAACATCAATGAACAGACATGTCGACGTTTGCTCTGAACTGTTCACACGTAGAGCTCAAGCAATTTTCTTAATTAATATTGGGTCAGACTAACAGACCACTGCATGCATCGAACGTACACTGCCTGCCTGAAGGCGGGCACGAATGACATCGCGGATGACATCCATCTTTGTGTGACCAGACCTGGTACGGTTGCTGCCAGGGTTTGCCAAATCCTTTGGTCCATACTTCTGTAATGTTGGGCATTCAAAATCAACAGTGTTTGCAAGGTCATTTTGTACCTCCACAGTTTTATATCACATCATTTTGCACTGCTTAGCTTCGAATATTTAGTGATATCATCTATAAGATGGTGTGAGCTGCAAGTGCTTGAATGATGCAGGCGGCCTCGACTTGGTGTAGCGTTGAAACCGGTCCAAGCAGTAGCTGGCCAGGCCCCTAATGATTCCTCCCTCAACTTCTGCCCAAGCCTGTGTGGTTGAGCAGAACGGAACTCTTAATATAGATTTATTAATAGTGCGCGAGACGTCGTTATATTAGCTAGACCATATTTCGAAGACCTGGTATTAGTATGAATTCATGCAGGTTCCAACTCCAATCATGACAGGTCTTTGGCCAAGGCATATATGATCAAAGAACTTCATATCGATGAGTGAGTATTATCAGTGCAAATTTTATACCAATTTGATTGTGTCCTCTGACCACCACCAAGCCTTGTGACTCTCTGCATCCTTGTAGGGGTTCAATCGATAGTATTCTGAGACATAGGCCAGAGCTTCCTGTTCATGGATCAGAGCACATGCATGGATCGATATTTTGGACCCTCAAAAAATAGATGAATCAAGATCGATCTAATCGTTCGAATCTATCGATGTCGACAGTGAATGGCAAGCACGTGTGTACTTCAGGTGTCTGAATTAGTCCACCTTGACTTCCAACGGTTGGGGAAGGTCATGACAAAAGGACGCCAAATACTCGAGGAGAAAGCCGTGGTTGTGGTCACTTTCAGCCTGCATGCATGCTAGGTGCAGCTAGGAAGTCTGGTGTGTCTTGGGGCACAGGATTGTACATTCAATTTGAGTTCCTGAATTCCAAGGCTAGGGTTTCGATTGCTAGCCACTTCGCGCTCCAAAGACTGCAAGTTAATTATTCGAATTCTCACCACTGGCATCATGTCATCGTGCGATGAAAGAGGCCTCCCGGGATCCGATGTGCTTGCGCCCCTTCTCCACAATCACAAACTGCCATTTTGGGACCTGGGCAAAACGATGCAAAAAATGCTCAATCAGGTCTTCCACGATCGATCTATTAAAACGTTGCAAGATAGGAACTAGGTCAGGGAGTTGCTTCATGGATATAGTACTGTTTATAGTAAATTGCTAATGGCCTCAACTCTGGGTATTGCATGGTGGGTGCATACAATAAAAAAGAACAATCCTGGCAATTGGCAAGGACATGCTAGCAGACTTCGCTGTGGTCAGATGCATGGGTGGTGTGTGATCTTGGACACATGCCACATATATAAATTAAATATCAACAAGTTCCCCTCCCCAGCTCCATGCACAAATTCTCAGGACATGGCTTTGAGCTTGTCCCGGTCAGTCAGACCAGCACGCTGGCGCAAAAGTTTGCGTCGTTTCTCCAAGTAGGAATCTGCCTCCAAGATGTCCATGAGAAAGGCCTCCCACTTCAGGATTCTCCAACAATACGACCCTGCATTTGTTCAAAAACAAAAACTCAAAATTAATTATTAAGACCAATCCAAACTTGATCCTTTATACATGTGTTGGCTTTTCTTGCACTCTTTCATGGGTGAATCAAAAGGTAAAAAACAATGCCCTGGGTATAGTAGCATTAGGCCTAGCCTTGAGATGATCTACACGCTGAGCTCGGGGTGACTGCTCCATGGCCACTGGTGAGGAGCACTGCTGCGTGTGAAGATTCTGAAGGAATCACACAGAACCTTAAAATGTTCATAAAAAATTGCACACCTGCCACATTGCTTGGGCCCATGCTGTATGCAGCTCAACACTTTGAAAGCTGAGCCAACAAACAAGTGCACATCGATCTGCAGGAGTAAACTGGACCGATGCAAGTTGAAACCTTCATCCACCCAAGGTTTAAACGTTTGATCTGGAAAAACAAAAACACAAATGCACATCCAACTCTACATGACAAGATTCTTGCCTTGTACAATTCCTGGCACTTTCTAGGCCAGGGTGTTTGAGAAGTTACATCAATGAATCTGCACTGGCTGGGGGCAAGCGTACCTGCTACAGCATCGATTAGGTTCAGATCGATGGTCTGCTGAGCACTGTCTGCTACACCTGATGACTATGCATGCAGCCAAGTGCAAAGCACATCTACATCTCGATCTCGATAGATCAAAACAAACCAAATCATGACCATGAGCTACATAAAAAAACAGTGCTCCTCCTACAAACTTGTCAATTTGCAACTGTGCACTGACTTCCAAGTGCATTCCAAGTTTGTTTATTCCTTCTTGCTGAGCATGTGTCTTCACCAAGCTCTGCACGTTGTTCATAAGCTCTCTTGGCAGAGGGCATCACGCAGTTCCATCACAGCTAAAATTGACAAAACGTGGCAAAACTACAAAATGAACAGGAACATGGATGTCCAAAACATTGTCTGTCCTGCCCCTGCTTCTCATGCAAAAGTTAAAAGGGCAACACATCTCATTGTGGCCATCTCTCATGCATGACTCATGATCATTCTGCCACTCTTGATCCATTCCAGACGAAGGCACCTCCAATACTGTGAGTTCTGAGGCCACTGCCCAGGGGAAATAGTCGTTCATGCGATTTAATGGTCGCATTGTTGCAACTATTATTTTTATAGTTGCTGAAGGCCAGGGTCTAGCTCCAGTCTCCAGTTAGCTTTAGTGGAGCTAGAGCTAGGCTAGAGCTATGCTTCACTCATCACTCATCACTCATGCGTCTGACTGAGGGACACGAGGGACACGCGTGGTGGAAAGAACCGGGACACTCCTACAGGTCAATTTGTTCTTATAGGAAACTTCCGCCGCCGGCTTGCCCGGGAACTACTTGTATTCATATGATAATACAAGTTTTAGAATTTTTTTAGAAGACAAACTTTATCGTTTAATGAACACAACATATGTAACAAATGCTGTATCGACAATATTGCAGTAATGAAGATATCTAAATCACACACACACATGCTTTAAACATTGTTTAACAACAACCAACACCAAGCATTAAAAAACATTAAAAACAATCACGAAGAACCAAATATTGTTGATGAGTCGTAGAAGAAAGGCTGATTTTGTGTTCTTGGCCTCCTCGGTTCTTGCAGTCAAAACCTTTCACCCGATACAACTGGTCCACTTGTCACTCTCCAGACTTGCGTAGATCCACCCAGACTTGCGTGACGTGGGTGGAGGTCATAACCCTAAAAGTCAAGTCGACCATTTTGTAGAATGGGAATAGCCTGGTGTTACTGCACAATCGTAAAACAATGGTTCTTCGGGAGAAACCAGCGCTTCTGAAAAAAACCGATGGACGGACCGACCGCTTCACCAGCGCATTCGACCAGCTGTCTCGATGGCCTTCGATGGCAGCTTCGTGTGCAGCTTCATGCATATGAGACGGAAAGGTCGTCAAGTCGAAAAAGAAAACACCCCCCCTCTGTAACAAGGGTTTGTATATGTTTGTACCCTCAAAACCCTTGTTTTTGAGGGTGCGGATCCTTAGGGCCCTAAGAATCGACCCGACCACCACTTCTGGAGGCTTTGGACTTTGGACGAACTGCAGGTTCCGCAGGGGGGCCCGACAGGACTCCTTCACCAAAGCTTCACCGAACTGAGGGTCCTTGATTCTTAGGGCCGAAACTGTTTCCTATTGGATGGCACGAGGACTGGCACAAGGACTGCCAGCCCCTCGTTTCAGGACGAACAACTGATGATGTTGCCCGGGATGAGCTCTTCGTGCATCATCATGAGGAAGCCAATGGCCTTTTGCCTCACGTTCCACCCCAAAGGGCGTTCGCGATGTTTGTTTCATGGTTAGGCTGGAGATGAACATGACGAGGTGCTGGAGGGAGCAAGTGAGCGTCGCCGGATATTTCCACACACTGGATCCTGCAACTCAGCAACATGTCTGCCTTTTTGGGTCGCTTTATAAATCCCCAGGGATCCAAGTACCTTCTCAGAATGTGATTGGAGACACTGTTATGTAGGTGCCAGGAGGGTCCAGTCGTACCTTCTGAGAGGGTTTTATACATGAAAAGGCAGAACTGTTGCACAGTTGGAAGATCCAGGTCCCAGGTATCGCATTTCCCAAACAAAATTAGGTAGCCGGGTCGGGGAGCAACCACGGGGTCATTCCCAAACCTCAACAGCAGGAATGAAGAGATACATCAGTCCCGGACGTCAAGAACCTGACCCAGATCAACCTGGTCTTGAACACATCCTGTGTCCGTCGTGTTTTGGTATGAAACACACGTCCTGGTTCCTACCCAAACACATCGATCCCTAGGACTGTCAGGACGGACTGCCGCCGTTTTGAGGCCGACCCTCCTGGCACGCACCACCTTTGGCGGCAGTCCGTCCTATGAGGTGGTCGTGGGATGGGTCGTGTGTTGGAAATCGCCCCCCTGTCTGGCTTCTTTCCTTCCGAGACGCGACCCGGTCGGACCTACACAGAGTCCTGTGGAGGGGGAATCCTCTGGAGGGGTCAGGGGTCGAAGCAATCCCCAGGTGTTGAGGGACCAGTCGGGCTGTGAACGGAGCATCTGGGTTCTTCCACTTTCACTGGGAGGTCGCCATCTTTAAATAAGCGTGAACCATGCTGGAGGATTCTTCCTTGGCCAAACAACACATGAAAAATAACACCACTGTTTGGTCATGGTCTGTCGTCAAAGAATATCTTTTGGGCACACTTGGGTGTGAAGAGCCAGCAGAAACACCAGCTCTTGTGTGTGTGTGTGTGTTTTAACGAACAATTTCAATATTGGTTGGATGATCTACCTATCCCTAAGAATCCTTGGGCTCTCCATAGCAGGGGTCGGACCCTCCATAGCAGGGGTCCGGGCCCTCAAAACCCTATGTGTTTGAGGGTCCGGATTCTTATGAATATTGGAAAACTCACATAGACCCTGACGTCCTGGTCCCATGGAAGATGATTTTCCTGTACCAACAGGGGGGGTTTTCAGGTTCGCATCGTCTTCCAGGGTGTAAACTTCTTTGATGACTGGACTGTTGATGTCAAACTGATCTACTGATCACCACTTTCTCTTCTTCAGCATTTCTTCACAAGGCACCGGGGTAGATCTCTGCGTTCGGATCCGGATTTTCCTCGGGGTAGATCGGTGCCGACCTCTCCAACCCGGTGCCATCCCAGTTGCCACTCCAAAGACTTCTCACAGGAGCTCAGGAGTGCATTGGAGCCTCGGCGCATCCGGCAGGTCGCCGCATCCGTGCAGGTCGGCGGTTCAGATACCATTGACTATTTGACCAGATCCCCTGGAAGTCAAGTCGACCAGATCCCTGGTTGATCTGGTTTGGTAGTGTAAAAGCCTTAGTGAAGCAGCTCGGTGGTTCGGGATGCCTATTAAAGCAATGGTGGGCCACATACCATCCATGGGATATCCCAGACCATCATAATACCATCCATGGGACTGACCATTTCCGTCTCAGTTGGGGTGCTGAACCGGGGGTCTGGCTTGATTCCGCAAAGGTTGCTTCCAGTCACATGGATGGTCCGGGCATTGGTTGTATACCATTTCAGGGGGGGACCAGGTGTTTTTAGGGCGACCAGGCCTTCATCAGCTTCAGGTCTGGGTGGCTGGGACCAGACGTGTCACATGCTGCGAGGAACAGGGAGAATCAGCTTGGAACATGGAGATGCGAAGGAACGTTCCTTCAGCTGAGAAAGGCAGAAAGGCCGGGAAATCATGGATTCATGATAGGAACGTCCTTGGATTCATTGATGGATCCAAGGCCAAAGACTCAGGAATGCCACAGATGGATGGAGCCTTTTCAGAAAGGTGTTTGTCATGGGCTTTCTAGTCTGTGTTTCCTCTTAAAGCTGGTCATCACGGGTCTTTCGGCAAACCGAAGCAAAGCTCACTTGGAGGAGCTTCAGCTACATCGAATACCACCCCCAAGAAAGGCGTTGGAACATGATTGAAGGAAACAAAACTCAGCAAGTTTTTCTTGCACAATCGGATATCCTTCCTAGACACTCTCCAGTGAAGATGCACTTGCTAGCCTACTTGCAGAAACTTTACTTGCAGCTGGACAATCACTGAGTAGTCTGCAAACGAAGGGCTCAAAACACCTATGGAAAGGAGGGTTTCAGCATGTCAACACCGGACATGACAGCCCTATACATCCCCCATATGACAGCCCTACATCCGCCCGCCCGCCCCCACCTCACGGTGACAGTCCGAAATGGCCCAGACCGGTGAGACAGGTTCGGATGGATCACCGGAACCTGCACCGAACCGAAGACACCGCTATGGACGGTGCCGTCTCACCTGCTGAGAAGGTACGACTGGATCTCTAGGGCCAGGTCTTGGGATTGTTGCGGTTTCGATGTCCATGAAAACGCTCGGAGAATGCCACACTGCCACATGCCCGGTGGCACCACTTAAGAGGTTCGGGCATGTGGATGCCCCTCCAGTCCAGGGGGGTTCTCTGGTTCACAGACTCGCCTTTTGGAAACACCAACACGACCCCTGTTTTGGGAACATTGAAGCAAAGAGCATTTTTCAGTACCAGCGGGGCCCTTTGTGACCCGCTCTTACCCATGGCCATTATCTTTCTCGTGTCTTCTCCCTGTTTTGCTTCTCATCTCTGCCTCCATCGACACGCCAAAAACGTCGCCTTTCTTGACACATCACTTGAGTCTATCCCCTTACCATTAACTGTGGATGATGATGCTTCAGTCGCAGGCCGACATCTCTAAACTCGTGATCATTGCTTTTAAAGAGACTCCATACATCCACATACCACATACCCCCCATACCTCACTACCTACTTCAGCTACCAGCTGCCGCGTGGCTGATGACGTTGGGCTCCAAGTGATCTCGAATCATCTCGAAGAAATGTAAAGCCAGCTGCCACTGCCGACCCTTCTCGCATGAGCCTCGCTGCTTTCACGGCCGGTCGGAGCCGTCTTCGGCTCTTCTTCGGCGGAGCCGGTCGGCGGAGCCGGTCAGGTCCCAAGAAAACGAGGACCTGGGGACTAGGACCTACTGTCGGGGGTGGTGAAATGGACACCCCTTAACCTCTATATATAGGGGATATCAATAAACACCGCTGTCGGGGTGTCCTGGGATATTGTTGAAGTACCCACTTGAAACATTTCCCTAAGGGTCCTGGAGCATTCATTTCTCGGATGTCCTGCTGTCGGCCCCAGTTCGACCCTGCTCAGGAAGTACACACTCACCTTCGTTCGACCATCCGATGGTCGATGGTCCTGGACCCTTAGGGTATGTCATTGGTAGGCATTTTAACATCATTGGATCCGCTAGTCGAATCCTCCGAAGTCCCAGACGCCGGCAGACTCGGTCTGCCGAGTCGGACGGAAAATAAAACCCTTAAGGCTGTCTGTTCAACTTCGATCTGCAGGACCTTGCTGACATCACCTGGGCTTTTGCAATCAGAACTTGCAGAACTGGCAATTGGTGGATGGTCAAAACCTGCAAACATCTTGCAAATGGTCTGGGCCCGTGTAGGTCCACCGGCTCATGGTGTCCGCCCATGGTGACGTGGTCGTCGATGCGCACTCCAAAGTCACTCTTTGGTCACAAGAAATGGGCAATCATGAAATGTGGGAATCATGAACTCCAAACATTCTTGTGTTTCTTGATGATTCCCCATGTTTTCTCCCTCAATATTGAACTACGGACGGAGCAAGGACGCTAATGAAAGGGGCTCCTGGCGTTACTACTAGGAGCAAAGACGCTACTAGGAAGAAAGGGCATCGCTACGAACGGAGCTTTAGTACTGTATTTGGCGTTTTGGCCACCCAACACTGCAGGAGTGGTGGCCACCTTTGGGGCACCGTGATGGGGGGGGAAATGACAAAAAACACCTCTCCGAAGATGTTTCAGGGAGACCAACCACAGGCGAACCTACCTGGACCCTCCAAAGTCCCCGAGAACATGGGGCGAACCTCATAAGTCCCTCTCAAAGCTTATAAGCACTTGTTCCATCTTGTATACCCATGTTTCAGAGAACTTTGAGGGTCCAAATACAAACAATGGATCATTCCCATCCTACTGTTCTAAAGATTACATTACAGGACATCACTGATGATGAGGCTCCATGAAGGCCTGTTCAAAAGGATGTGATGATTCTTTTCGAAATCACCTGTGATGCTGAAATCACCTGTGACCCCTTCAGTTTCCTCTGTTTATAGCCAGGAGCTGATTAAGGCGTTGTAGCTCACCAAATCCAGCTCCATCTGCTGCAAATCTGAGTAGGGTGCGGGTGGGGGTGCGGCGAGCGCCGCGGTGTCATTCTTTTTGTTTTTTACTTTGGAGGGTCATGCGGCATGGCCATGAACACATGTTCATGGTTTTTTCCAAACCAGCACCCGACTCGAAAACGCTCTCCGACCTGCTGGAGACCAAGAGGTGTTTTTCCGGCGGGCTCCATTGTCAGAAGCAGCGCTTGGTCGCCCTTCACTGCTGCAAACGCCGGTTTGTTACCCTTCGCTGTCAGAAGCAGCGGTTGTTATCACTTCACTGTCAGAAGCGCTGGCGGCCGAGCGGCTCGGGTGTTTGGTGTTACATGTTATACCACCAAAGGCAACCCTGAACGACCGGCTCAAGGACTCCTTGGACCCTCATATTTGATGGATCCCTATGGCAAGCACCCCCCACTCCTGCCCCCAGCAACAGACTTGGACCCAGCAACTCATCTGTTGGAACACTTGGAGCGCCATCTGCCACCGTGCCGACTTCTCGCAGCAACTGATCAAGGCCTAAGCTATACGGTGGATGGATCCATGGATCCCACGGGGTCGGATCTGTGTCGGTGGCCTGTCGCGACCGACGGACGACCGCGACGCGGGAAAGAACATGCACCGGTGGACAGCTCGCAGTGGACATCCGGGACTACTGATCCACGCACCAGTGCACCAGTCTCTCACCTCTCTTTCGCAAATTTGAAGCAGTTACCAGTACTGTGAAGGATGAACATGGCACCAAATGACCACTTCAGCATTGGTGTGTTGTAGGGAGGCCTCCCAAAGACCTTCCGGCAAAAGGGAAATAGACCCAAACCCATTGGTGGGTGCTCCATGAGCCATCTGAATACTGACTCCATCTGACTGCCTGCCATTCGAGGTGCATTGCAGGTCAACAGGTTCGGCTGAAGCAGCAAATCCTCCTGCCGTGCTCGGATCCGCTGGCGAAACCCCGCAAAGCCCGGCCGGTCTGGGATCAAACCCTTTGAGAAGCTTGATCATGGGAACCCTGGGATGGCGTGGCCCCCAATCAAAGACCACCAAATCCTCTACAAACTAAACCCTACAAATCCCAAGATCCCCCCCAGACGCTCCGTTCACAGCCCGACTGGTCCCTCAAAACCATAGGATTTGAGACCCCTGACCCCTCCAGAGGATTCGGGTCCGACCCCTCCAGAGGATTCGGGTCCAGGGTCGCGTCTGGGCCGGTCAAAACCGGGTCCTTGACCTCCATGTTTACCCTGATTTTTTGGCATGACCAACTCAGACCAACGTCCATGTGAGGGCCTTGTCCACTGAACTAGCAGCAGTCGGCAGTCGACTGCTGGCGGACTGCCCAGACGAATGGCGTGGAGGGTCCGACGGTTGGGGACGTTGAAAAGGGGTGAATATACCCCAGAGACTCCATCGGACTGCCATATCGATCAGGCCAGGGGTGGTTTTGGGGGTCTCCGCGAATTGGTCTCCGCCGCTGTACCCAGACTCCATGGGACTGCCAGGACGGACTGCCGAGAAACGGCCAGGGGTGGTTGAAAGGGGGTCTGTCTCAAACGGCAGTCCGTCCTGGCAGTCCCAGACAGGTCGTGTCTGGGTAGTAATATGGTGAATGGGGTGCCGAGTGCCATCGTTGTGTCGTACATGGTGTACGTATACAGAAGGCTTCCCAGGCTTCAAATCATGGTGCTTTTCTCCGATTTCGAGGGGTGTTTTTGGGTGACCGGCCCAGCGCCGTCTTCCGCGCCCCCACCGGTCCAGCCGCCAGTGGCGCCCGCTCCCGCGCCGCTCCCGCGCCGCAGACCGGTCCATCTGCTGGAAGAAATGCAGCGCCAGTGTCCAGTCACTCCCGGACGCGCTGATCACCTGCGGAGGTGGAACGTGGAACGTGTGGAACGTGGAGCTAAGCAGATATTGGGACCCAATTGCTACCTTTCTTGCTTTTACTTCTTCTTGTTTCTAAGAGCAATGGCCTCCAACCTAGTAGCGATGGCCTGCAAGAATCCCTTCAACCTCAGATCTTCACAGTTGATTCTATAGTGATGTTGACAGCCTCAAAAGTCAAAAAGTCAAGTTCTTTTCAGGCTCTTATTGCTGCACTGTCAAAAACTCTGTTGCTTCGTGAATCAGACACCTGCACGACTCGTTGGTTGGTTCACCTTGTGGTAGTTGGTCGGTCAGTTGCGGTCTCCTTCTTTGTTTGGAGTCTTCTAAGCTTCGATCACAGCAAGTTGGACTCTCAACCCCCTGTCGGTTCTCCCCACCCACGCTACCAAAGAAGTGAGACTTCTTTGGAACATTTTTTGTTTAACGTGCCCAAGGTTGCATGGTTCAATCATAGGGTGGCCCACACCCTTTCATTCGCAGGAATTCCTATAGTGGGGATCCAAATTTCAAACACCTATGGCTATGGTGTGCATTCGATTTGGGAGACCTCCCAGTTCCCCTGGTCTCCCTACTGAGGTGTTGGGAGATCCGCGAGGTTTGCTTTCAAAGTTGAAAACAACAAACAACCAAACAACATGTGTTTTCTGTTTTGCCCTGTGGAAGACCATGAACGCCTCCCTTTGCCCTTCCTTTTGGGCACCTGCTTTTGGCGTTGCCAGCTTCAAACGTTGAGTAAGGTCCGACCACAGCCGTGTGCAAACTCACTGCAGATCTTCAAAGGTATAGCATGGCTCCACCTCTAATTCTTGTGGGTCCCAACGTGCCATTGTCTAAGGGGATGGTCATGTCAGCTGATCTCTCTTCACGGCCCCCGATTGGCTCCACCCTACGAATCCAGTCGTACCTTCTCAGAAGGTGGGACTGGGGTGGGTGCCAGCAGGCTCCAAATACCTTCTCAAAAAGGTGTGACTGGATCCCTAGGGCACTTGCTGTTCTGGAATTCCGAAGTCACTGCCGCCGCCCGCCCTGTTTCAGGCCCACCACCCACAACCCACGCCGGCGCCCTCGGTCCAGGTGGCGGAGCCGAAGGTGACGACGCTCGGAGTGTTCCGCCGCCGCCGAAGACCTGGGAGCGGGTTTCACCCGACCAGACGACCCTTCAGGGCGCAAGGACGTCAGGAGCAAGACGGACCCGACCTGAGGTTCGAGGTCCTGAACGACATCTGGTCCGGTCTGAGCACGAACTGAACATGGACTGGAGGGACCGAACTGAGTCGTTCAAAGAAAGACCACGGATTTCCAGACGACTCGCCGAAGGAACGAAAGTCCTTCAGGTCGCTGGAGTCCGGATCCCTAATGGATCAAGATGTTGTGCCTCGAAACCCCGAAGAAAGACCCGGTGAAATCCACCCACTCGGCTCATCGTGACCGAATGTTGTCACCAGAATTGTCACGTGACCTCGAGAGGAATGTCAGACAGTATGTCATAACCAATGTGCTTCACACATCCTACTTTGGGAAAGTAACGATTCTGCACATCAAAGTACTTTGGGACTGGTCGAATCTCGGATTCTTATCGGTCTTCCAAATCAGCTGGGTGTGCCGTCTTCCCTCTGCGTGAGCCCACTCTGCTTCGAGCAAAACTTACTGGACTGGTCTGCACCGCAGACTGTGAGATAGGTGACGCCGTAACAACAAAAAAAACTGATTGGTTTGCTGGGTCGTCAACCCATCCTTCGTAAAAGATTTTTTTGGGCAAACACATGCATAAATTAAGTTGTTTAAAAACATATAAATAAGTGGTGGTTGGAATCCTCTATAGGCATTTCAGTTGCCAAGATGCTATCAAAGAGATGCACAGCCAGCTGCCTGGTGCGGCAAACAAGCTCTACAGGAGACCCCACAGAACCCGGTATACGGCTCCTTTTCTCAAAGGGGAGTAGAATGAAGTGAGAAGGTGAGTCAATGGCCCAATCACTCGACACACCGTGTAAGTACAACAAATATGGCCAGTTTCGCAATGGACTCCGTCGTATCTTTTCCAACTGCGCACCGATTCGCAAGGGGACCTTTGGCTAAGCAAAAGGTCCTCGCCTCTAAGCACCTGCAGCACCTGCAAACTAACGTGGACCCAAACATGTTCCTTGACGTCTCCGAGCCGAGGTGGCCTCAGGGTCCATGGTTTTCAGGGGGGAAGATACTCATCCTGGTCCCAACCCCCTAACCGTACACACCACACTACCAGGCCTCACTAAAATCATCTAAAACCATCTGAGTGCCCTAAGCGCAAAATCAGTGGTGAGATTCGTGTTGCGGGGGTGTTTGGAATTACTCGGCAATCAATATATACTCAAACCGTTCAAGTTCTATCTTTTGCGGTGGAGGTACCGCGCGCAAAAGAAGGCTCACGAAAAGGATCGAAAAGGTATATACCAACATGTACCACTGCAGTGCCAACAAGTCATCAGGTCGTTTCAGCAGTCTGAGTGCGTTTTTCCGGTGGAGCCTGTTCTGTCCCATGTCCCTTTCTAATAACCCCTATAGAAGTCCAGTTCGACGATTTTGGGCACCGTACCGACAAGGTTCGGGACCCTCCTGGGCCCGACTCACCCGGGACCTCGGCGCCTACATCACCCTATCCCAGACACTCCATGTATGCCATATATGCCTACATTGACCCCCCAAACCACCTCAACTGATCGGCATATATGGCAGTCCCATCAGTCGTGTCTGGATCCATTTTCGTACCGAACCTCCAGTACGGTGATGTCTTCGACCGCCCTGCGCCAGGCGCCAGGGTCGGATCCCGAACGGCTCCGGCTTGCGCAAGCTCAAACGGATCCGGGTCGACCGCTGTGCCGGACCGGGACGGGTCGTCCCGAGTCAAACCGGTGCGGGGACTGGGTCGACGGTCGTTCCTTCCGTCGTGGCGAGGTCAAAAGTGCACGTGACTCCAACGATCCATGGGATTGGCCGACCTGGACCCCTGGGGTCAAATGATCGGCAGGCATACCTTGTAAGCATATATATTCCAGTCCCATGGATCATGGATGGTCTTGGATTGTGCGGAACCGTGCAAAAAAACAGGCCAAGGGTGCCATTGATTGCCATCTTGACAAGAGCTGATAGCAGCATTGTAGCTGATGAGGTCGGGCAAAATGCCTCGTTTCGCACAAATGGTTCAGGTGAGGCATGTCTGGGCATGTAGGGCCTGAACGATCTGGTGCTCTCAAATCCAGCAGGTTCAGCACCGCACCTCAAACTGTCCACCATATATAGCTGTGTTTGTTTTTTTACTTTTGGTTTGGGCCGCGTCAGAACTTGGACAAAAAGGAAAACATGGATGTAGTTTCTTCCATCGCGTCCGAGGTCGCTTCGGCGTCCCAGGCGTGTGCGCCCCATGCCGTTTCTCCACGGCCGTGTTCTACGGCTGAGAACGGCGAACGGGTGTTGCCCGTCTCGGCGTGACTTCCGCGGCAGAGGCATCTGAAACACTTCAACAGAGGCACTCTGGTTCCTCATCTCTTCCAAAAGGTGCAACACCAATGGCCACTGCGAGCTCTTGTCCTCATGTTTCGAAGCTGTGGCTCCGGGGGTGCGCGCGGCGAGGTCCAAAACGACCCCCCATGATTGGCGACCCAAATGACACGATGGAAACTGCTTGAAACGCTGAAGCGTCCCAAAAACCTAGAATTGTTTGTTTGGTCAACAAAAATGTTATAAAACCAAAGGCAAACTGAAGGTCCAGACTCGAAACCGAACTGGGCAATAACCAAAGTTTGCTGGTCAACGATGTGTCCGACCCTTGAAAGAAAATCGAGGGTCTCGATGCCTGCCAAATACCAATTGGTTGTACACGACCCCGGGGTATCCCCTCTATTCATTCACCAACGAAAAAGACCGTGCTGGTCAAACCAAGCTGATGTCCATCGACAGGCAAAACATGTGCGGCACTCACAGCGATCTGAGGATCACAGGTGGCGATCAAGGAATTGTAGCTCACCAGGTTAGGTTCAGGCCCTTCGCCAAGCAACAGATCAAAGGCCTTCCGCAGGAAAATGTTGGAAGGCGCAGGAGGACGGAGCCCCTTTTCAGTGGGTCCACTGCATGAAATCCATAAGTTGGATAGGACTGGTGGCGATTGCGACATGCAAATGAGTGAGTGCCTAAACTTCCAATTCCTGCCACCATTGGTTCAATTGTTTTTTACATAAAAACATGTTTTATACTGGAGTTGGGACAAAGAAACCAAGTCAACCTGGTAGAAAAGGTCTTGGAAGGCTAGGGTACAACAAAAGGAATTCACGGTAAGATGGCGTGCAAATTACTTCACTTCAAGTGATCCCCACCATGACAATTCAATCTGACAAATTTTCGGCATGTATTGAAACATATTAGTTCGGCATTCTTTCTGGCATTCTGATATTCTTTCTGACATTCCTTCTGGCATATCTTCTGGCATTCTTTCTGACATTCTTTCTGGCATATCTTCAGACACTCTTTCTGACATTCTTTCTGGCACATCTTCTGACATTCTTTCTGGCATATCTTTTGACATTCTTTCTGACATCCTGTCTGGCATCTCTTCTGCGTATTTTCTGACATTCTTTCTGGCGTTCTATCTGGCATATCTTCTGACTCGCGGTTGAGGTCCGGTGGGGAACAGTGCAGTCGGGAGCTGGCGGTTGAGGTCCAGCAGGGAACACTGCTGTTCGGAGCTGGCAGTCGAGGTCCGGCGGGGAACGCTGCCCCCCGCCAGACGCGAAGTAACTGACATAAAACCTAACAACCCTCACCTGACAGGTCGGTAAAAAACCTCGTCAACAAAGCAAACCATAAAATCTACAGAAATGATCATAAGTAGGCCATATGCAGGAAACGGCAAAGACATCTTTTAGTCAACTGCCCTGCGGTAGCCACATCTTGAAATCGTGGTACTAAGTATTGGGAGAGAAGAGCCATGCAAAATAGAAAGGCGTCAGCTAAAAATGCAGGGCATTCGCACCACGCCTGTGAAAAGGCTGGGCAAGGTGCATGTATGCGTGCAGGTGCAGATTTAGAGGAAAGGTGTTGGGACTCCAACTTGTTCCCAAGACTTTGAATTCGTCCCAAAGAGCCTCTAAGCCCTCCATGTCGGGCCGCCAGCTCCTTGAATTGTAGGGGCACGAAATTTCCACACCCGGGAGGCCCCTGGCTCCTCTTCTTCAGCAGCCTCCTCGGCGCATGCGTCTTCTTCGGCAACCTCGAAGGTGGCCTTGAAGTCGCGCATGGAAGAGTCCAGAGCCTCACGGTCTCCAGGACAGGCCGGCGGAACCGCGGAGATCCATCATGGAGGGAAGTGAATTCCTCGACAACCTCAAAAGCCTTCGCGCTTGGCAAAGCCCACGGTCACCTTGGCTGCCCACATCACATACATGAAAACTCGCACAGTTGCAAAGGGGGGTTGCATCCTCAACTACATAGGGACCCATCTTGACGCCTGACACCTGAGCCAGGTTTCGCGGACGACACATGGCCGACATAGGAGCGAACAACGAAAACAGAAACTCTTTGGTTTAGGTTGAAATTTTTGGGAGCCGTCGTGAAGTTTTACAAGTCAGGTGCCCTAAGACTCCAAGAAGCCAAGAATTAGGCTGCCAGCAAAAAGGCTGCCAGCCTAAAATCAAGGCTTTTGCATTTAGGCTTCCAAAAAAGACAGAAGCCTAAAATCTAGGCTGCTAGAAAACATCAATTTTTGGCTGCTTTTGCTTCTCAACTTGTCCACATTCTGTCATGTTTTTGTGCACATGTGGCACAAAAGATGTGTGAAACTTTGCTGGGTGAGACTTGGTCCTAGCCTTGTGCAGGCCAACTTCATGTCCATTGTGTTGGAACATGTGAAACTTGGGCACGATGTGCAATATTTTTCCTTCTGGGTTGTATCTTCGAGCTTCTCTCTCCAAGGCCATATACTGACCAGCCACCTTCTGGCCATATGTGGGCAAATCTTGAAGCTGATTTGTTTCCATGCACATGTATAGTTGTGCCAAATATTACCATCAGAAATATATTTTCCTGTGAGGATTTGCAATAATGAGATGAAATGTCGGATTTGTGCTGCCAGCCCCTTCAATGTGGGGACAGGTGGGCCTGAAGATGAGCTGGCACCAGGTCCCTGACTGTGGGCATCCTGTTGCACCTCCAAGGCAAGCGCAAGAGAAGCCACAACATGGCCTTGCACAGGCCAGGCATGCTGCCCCAAGTGCAAACCCTGGGTTACAGGTCGGTTTGAAAGCTTGAGCCAGAGTTGCTGCTCAAAAAAAAGCAGTGATGCAGGTGGAGTGAGCATGCTAATGCATGGTAAAAGTCACCGTGCAGTTGAAAAACACATATGGCTTTTTCAAATTTATATACATGGTTAAAGAAAATATATTTGCATATGCATAAAATCTACAGAAATGATCATAAGTAGGCCATATGCAGGAAACGGCAAAGACATCTTTTATTCAACTGCCCTGCGGTAGCCACATCTTGAAATCGTGGTACTAAGTATTGGGAGAGAAGAGCCATGCAAAATAGAGAGGCGTCAGCTAAAAATGCAGGGCATTCGCACCACGCCTGTGAAAAGGCTGGGCAAGGTGCATGTATGCGTGCAGGTGCAGATTTAGAGGAAAGGTGTTGGGACTCCAACTTGTTCCCAAGACCTTGAATTCGTCCCAAAGAGCCTCTAAGCCCTCCATGTTGGGCCGCCAGCTCCTTGAATTGTAGGGGCACGAAATTTCCACACCCGGGAGGCCCTGGCTCCTCTTCTTCAGCAGCCTCCTCGGCGCCTGCGTCTTCTTCGGCAACCTCGAAGGTGGCCTTGAAGTCGCGCATGGAAGAGTCCAGAGCCTCACGGTCTCCAGGACAGGCCGGCGGAACCGCGGAGATCCATCATGGAGGGAAGTGAATTCCTCGACAACCTCAAAAGCCTTCGCGCTTGGCAAAGCCCACGGTCACCTTGGCTGCCCACATCACATACATGAAAACTCGCACAGTTGCAAAGACAGGGTTGCATCCTCAACTACATAGGGACCCATCTTGACGCCTGACACCTGAGCCAGGTTTCACGGACGACACATGGCCGACATAGGAGCGAACAACGAAAAACAGAAACTCTTTGGTTTAGGTTGAAATTTTTGGGAGCCGTCGTGAAGTTTTACAAGTCAGGTGCCCTAAGACTCCAAGAAGCCAAGAATCTAGGCTGCCAGCTATAAGGCTGCCAGCCTAAAATCAAGGCTTCTGCATTTAGGCTTCCAAAAAAAACAGAAGCCTAAAATCTAGGCTGCTAGAAAACATCAATTTTTGGCTGCTTTCGCTTCTCAACTTGTCCACATTCTGTCATGCTTTTGTGCACATGTGGCACACAAGATGTGTGAAACTTTTCTGGGTGAGACTTGGTCCTAGCCTTGTGCAGGCCAACTTCATGTCCATTGTTTGGCAACAAAAGCATTGTGCTTGGGGCCTTGCTCAGGCCAGCTGCAGCCCTGCCACTAGTCCAATGGAATATGTGGGAACCTGGTTTCTTGCTGAAGTCTCAGCAACCAATTCTCTGCATTTTTGGTTGGGTTATTGGCACCTCCCCTTCTGACAAAGAGGCTTGCCAAGGTCCCTCCACAGTTTCATCGCGATAGCACCAATACAGTAATCCTTTGGTGGGTAGGGTGCTTCACAAATATGTTGGAACATGTGAAACTTGGGCACGATGTGCAATATTTTTCCTTCTGGGTTGTATCTTCGAGCTTCTCTCTCCAAGGCCATATACTGACCAGCCACCTTCTGGCCATATTTGGGCACATCTTGAAGCTGATTTGTTTCCATGCACATGTATACTTGTGCCAAATATTACCATCAGAAATATATTTTCCTGTGAGGATTTGCAATAATGAGATGAAATGTCGGATTTGTGCTGCCAGCCCCTTCAATGTGGGGACAGGTGGGCCTGAAGATGAGCTGGCACCAGGTCCCTGACTGTGGGCATCCTGTTGCACCTCCAAGGCAAGCGCAAGAGAAGCCACAACATGGCCTTGCACAGGCCAGGCATGCTGCCCCAAGTGCTAACCCCGGGTTACAGGTCGGTTTGAAAGCTTGAGCCAGAGTTGCTGCTCAAAAAAAGCAGTGATGTAAAAGTCACCGTGCAGTTGAAAAACACATATGGCTTTTTCAAATTTATATACATGGTTAAAGAAAATATATTTGTATATGCATGTATTTTGTAAAACCACATGTGGTACGAACCATTCCCTTACTTTTAGGTTATGTTTAAGAAAAACACAAATATGGTATCTTTCTATTATTACATAATACTAAAATGTGTAATATTAACTACTACATTTTTAACTATGTTCTGGTTGTTTATTGTGAAATCTCCAAGCTAGTTGTCCACTTTGGGGCATCAAAGCCTTGTTCAGGCCACCCATCATGGGCCAAGCTTAGCCTTGGGACTTGTGTCTAAACAAAATTTAGAAGAGAAACTTCCGAGTTACGAACGCCAAGAGCAGCTCAGCTAATGCGGGGGTCTGCTACCCAGAAGATGCGGAATATTTATATTTTGTCTGTTATATAAGAAACAACGACCTGTAGATTTCTTGACTGTATACAAAAACAATTTGTAGAGATAGACAATTGATGCTTGATGATAATCTTAATAACATGTTGTATACAGTAGTCTATTACATGTATCGTACGCACATTCTATAGATTTTTGGTCTGCGAAATCTATCTATTGTACAGAACATTTGTATACAAGACTATACAAGTAATCTCCAGCACAGCTGGTGGGCGGAAGTTTCAGAAAAATGAATCTATAGGAAGAAGCAATTGCATTGCTGCCGACACATTTAACCAATGGTGTGTCTGATTTACTTTTTGATGACTCTTCTAATTGAATTCTCAACTTGTTGATTCTACTATTGATGACATTTCTATTGAAGCTCTACTTTTGACGACAATTTTTTGAAATCTCTCCTTTTGACGACTGTTCCATTGAAATCTATGCTCTTGACGACTTCTATTGACATCTCGAGGACTTTTCTATTGAATCTCTGCTTTTGACGACTTTTCTGAAATCGCTAACATGAATGCTCTTCTAGTTGATCACCTGTGTGCCATCCGTTTGCAAATTGTGCTTGATGTCAATCGGGCACGGTCAGAACATGGCATACATGTATACCCCTATAGGGCTCCTGGCCCATATCCTCAGGAGGTGGTTAGAGTCCGCTGGCACCCACCCCAACAATCTTCGAAACGGAGGTGGTTGGAGCCCTAGGGTACTTTTAATTGTGCCATCTTACCGTGAATCCTTTTGAAGAACTGAAACTTCCGATCGCTCTGAACGGATCTGTCAAAGTAGATACCCCCTGGCGGCCGTTTTTTGGTGCTCCTGAGCACGCTACAGAGCCACAGCTACAGTGGGTCGGTGAGGGTTGATGTGAGCGTCGAAGCTCCGGCCAAGCCCCTGGTTCTTCAAAGTGACCGAAGTTGATCCCCTGCTTTGAGGTCACTTAGCCCTGTGAAAGGTCAGGGGCGACAAAGAGGTCACTTCGAAGAAGCTGGCCAAGGATCTTCACTTGCAATGACTGTGGGGTCTGTGGGGTGCTGCTCCACAGGCAGTTTCAGGGACCCATCAAGGGGCCTGGCCCAACCAACTTTCTGCTGTTTGATGCAGAAATATGCAGAAATCAAAGGTCTCACACACCTACATGTTACATCTACTTGATTCCTTGTGTAACTCTTTGTGTCTTTGAGGACCCGGACACTCTGTCTGCCAAACTTCCCTGCCCAGCAACCTCGAACTTCACCTCCTTCACCTCACGGAAGGCCCCTCCATCTCCCATTCTGAGTCGCTTCGCGTCGGTTCCGCACGCAGCGCGCAGATCCTCCGCACAGCAGCCACTTCGCCTCCAGCGCCAGGAGCCACTGCGTGGCCTTCTCGAAGGAACTCAGCAGGGCCCCAAACGTCACCACGTCCGGCCTCGCCGAGGTCACGCGTTGACGTCGCGCGGGTTGATGTCACGTGTTGCGCACGTCCACCAATGCAACATCTCATGTTCAGCCATGGTATGTTTCGAGGGTATGATTCGAGCTATGTTTCGGATGTTGACCATGCGTCCTATCTTAAAGTGCTTAGCACGGTATTTCTGGAAGCCCCACCCGAACTGGGTGGTGGCTAGACATTTCCTGCTAAAAGGAGTCTTCGCACCAGTCCGGGAAAAATGAGAAGACCAACTATACTAAGACTATACTATGGCATCTTTACCTACGGTGTCATATTACCTACATTGGGGGTTGTTTCAGGGGTGAATGGGTGGCATCTATGCTCTACACAGAGTGTCCTTCTTGAAAGAATCCAAACGATCTCTCTTCTCCAGGGGAAGACTCCTCCCCAAGCCGTCCGCACCCAGGCAGCGCAGGGAGCTCGTGGAAGGCTTCGAGGGCCAAAGGCCATTGGAGACCTCGGCACGCCGGAGGTTTCGGCGCGACCGGGGGATCCAACAAAGGTGGAAGAACCCTTTTGACAGCTTTTGACCATCCCAGTTGGGCTCCCCAGGTTTTCCGGGTCCTTTTTCAGATCACTCAATAGCCTCTCTTGGGAAACAATGTACTTGCTGTGGTTGGCGGAGGAAACCCTTCAGAGGCAAGGACAACAACGATATGTGTGCGGCCTGTGCCGCGCTGTTGCGGGGACTTCAGGTGCAGGAGAAGTCTCGTTGACGTTGAGCAACAGAAAACCTGTGATTATCCGCCATCAAAGTGCGTAGGATCGCTTAAGCCTTTCGGTTGACCATAGGTGGAGGCGACTTTTGGGCATGAAATGACCCAGACTTCAAGGATATTAGTCATTCCCAGACACTCCATGCATGCCATATATAATATGCCTACATTGACCCCCCAAACCACACCAATGATTCAGTGTACTGACATCAAAAAAAAACATTGAGGGGGGTATCTTCTGAGAGTCAACTGGCCCCAGGGCTCCAGTCGTACCTCCTCAGGACTTTGCACCCTCCTGGCACCCACCTCAGTCCCACCTTCTGAGGAAGGTACGACTGGAGCAGTAGGGATGGTCTTTCGTCGAAAACAGAATCCAGGCCTTTCTCACAGGACGTGATCAGCGCGTTGGTGCTGATCACGTTGGGTTCCAGCAGTTCTCCGGACATGCGATGAAACCTGGGTTCCCGGCCGACGTTCCGGGTCGACGGGTTCGACGGCTTCAAAAGTTCGCCCATGCCGTCAAACGTCCCGGGCGCGAGGCGAGCTTGAGGCCCCCAGGAGCTTGATGGAAGTTCGACATGCCGAACTAACGCACCACCCCACGTTTCCACTTACATCACCGTCAAATTTGTGGTTTCTCTGAGCAAATCAGCTGGTGCTGTCAGTCTGAAACCATCCCAAGGACCAACAAAATCAGCCTACGATAGGATACCCTATGGATCCACATACCATAGGCGCCAGGGTCGGGTCCAATTGCCTTCTGAGAAGGTGGCAGTGGATCCATATGGGATAGATGTTCCATGCAGCCAAAAAAAGGCAGGCTTTTCACCCATCAGATGCACAAGGTCAATGGTTCATCTGCCCCCCAGGTGCACCGGCTCGGTCGATCCTGCCGCAGCTCGTGACCATCGGTGCCTTTCTCTGCGCCGCAGCTCAGTGCTACGCGGTGCCGACCGTCGACCGACCGTTGAAGGGGGTTCGGGGGGTCGCCGACCGTGGCCGTGGAGGTCGACATCTCGTTTTTTCCCATACCTGGAGCATCCTGCCTGGGTGGACAGTCCGTACTGGACTCGTCTACGACCACTGGATCTCTTTAAAAGGAGGACACCAGGACCTTCCCAGTCGAACTTGAGATCCCAGTGGCGGGTTGGTCACAAACAGGCCTTGATTTCAGGTCACGTATACCAATCCTGAAGAGGTCACTGAGAAGGTCCTGGCACCTTTTTTTGGGATGGTCCTCGTATGAAGTCGACAGGTCAAAGTACCAACCGAACGACCCGCAGACCTACAAACGTACCCTGTCACAGAACTTCGTTTCGCAGTGAAGGCATGGCTACTTCAAGTCAATCCGCCGGTGCTGAGTCAATTCTTCAGGTGTTGTTTTTAAAGAAACCAACAGAGGTTGAAGGACCCTATTGCCTATCCTACAGAGGTCACGAACCGTCCCTGAAGAGGTCACTTACAGACTCCAAAGAGGTCACGTACTGAAGGTCCTGGTCAGTTCTTTTTTTTTTAAGAAACGATCAAGGAACATCTCGATGGAGAGGCGCCAACACCCGCAGCAGCTCATCGCGGCGCTGCAGCTGATCACATCCATCCGGACGGTGCCCCTCAAGAACGCGTGCCGTCAGAGGAGGACGGGGAGGATGGGGTGTGCTGGCTTCGCCAGAACTTGTGAAAGCCATGGGGGCCATCTGTCTGGATCGTTTGCCCTAGAAGGTTGGCTGCAAAATTCGCTTGTGTCCTTGAGTTCTATGTCCGGACTTGGATGGTGCTGCATGTACACAGTACCACCCGAATTGTTTGGCATAAATAGGCATCGATGCACGGGTCGTCATGCGAGATGGTCATGAAATATCTAACTCATCAAGCTGAATCCCTAGGGATCCAGGTTGAAGTACCAAGTCACCTACCCCAGACACGACGATCCCTACAACTGCCAGCCATAGGACTGCCGCCCCAGACGGCCAGACCCCCTGGCAGGCACCGCGTCCGGCCGTTTCAAAGGCATATGGCCCATCCCAGACAGGTCGTGTCTGGGTACTCGCCGCGTGACCGCTCGGACCTCCGAGGGATCCAGAGACCTTTGGCGTGACATGTGTGTTGATAGGGTAAAATAGGGAGACCTTCCAAAGACTTGGAAGAAGGGAAATAGACCCAAAAGCCGATTGGTTTGCCATTGTCCCTACTATTCAATGACACATGCCATCTATTTGGGGGGATCACTTTACGTAGGTCGCCGGTCTGTTCGGCCTTTCCACCAGGCTGTCGCCGTCCCAGGCACCCGGCCGTGTGAAAAAGCCGCCAAGCTCGCCTTGCTTCGCCGAAGGCCGAGGGGAGGACTGGAGAAGGCACGAAGGCTTGGACCAGCGAACTGAGCCTAGACGTCACTATACCCTGGAAGTCCAGTTCGACTATATATTGACCTGCTGCTGTAAAGGAAGTTCCCTTTGAGGTCCCCTAGTCAGACCATTCTTTTTACAGTCTTTGACTCCTAGGGTATAGTTGGGTGTGACAGGAAGCAAGTTATTTTTGGGTGCAGGCTGTGTGAAATCCAATTGGGTATACTATGTTCAACTCACAGGTCATCCGCATTTCTGTGGTAGCAGGTTTCCTTGGTGTCGTGCCAAATCATGGACATGCTAGCTGGCGACCATGAAGCTAGCGACACTGGCTAGCTGGCTAGCCCACTTGAGCAAAAGAGGGGAAACGACTGCCGGACATATATATAGCCCAAACACTCCATGGGACTGCCATATATGCCTCTCCATGGACCCCTGAAACCAGCCCACTGTAGGTATATGGCAGTCCGATGGAGTGTTTAGGCATCTATCAATCTGTTGTTCAATGACTATATTCGATCGTTCAAGTTTAGGTGACGAGTCATTGACACTTCTTCGTCAAGTCAGTCAACCACGCCGTGCCACGCCATGTTCCATATGCCACCCTCCCCTGGGGTCCGAAAACTGGCTCTCCTTCATCCCAGTCTCTGCCAGAGCTCCGACGCCATGACGGCGGTGCAGCTGACCGCGTCCGGGCGCCGACGCCAGCGGTGGAGCTGGGCGAAGAGGTCCAGGGCGATGGCCCAACGACTGGGATCGTTCATCTCGGCAGAATCGCGGGAGCTGTCCGTGAGAGGGTGCGACGCGCAAGCGAGCTGCACGGGGGATCGTACCGAGCATCCCGAAGGATCGTAACGACCCGGTTCGGGCTTCCCTGCTGGGCCGGGGGTCAGGCGCCTACGTAGATAGTCTCCCTGGTCACTCTACCGCAGAAGGTCACTGTGGATCGAATCCGCTCGAAAAAGGGAGCCATGCGGACTATAGCCGGTAGCCTACAGGGAATGGATCATCGAAGAGATACCGGCAGGAAGACGTCGGAAGGAGACTCAACTGGGTGGCACCAGCAGGTGAAAACAACACCTCCGAAATGAGGTACTGGAACCTGGTAAAATGTCTGTGGGAAGAAGGACTCTTCACCAGCAGTCACAAGACTGGGTGCCTATTGGAGGATAGGGGAGCCCAGAACATCCACTCACTTAGGGACTAAACACCACCCCTTTGTGACTCCCGCCCCATTGACCCCCCTGGCACCACTCCTGGCCTGATCGGCAGTCCTATGGCAGTCCCAGACAGGTCGTGTTTGGGTTTTACCTTGGAAACACATCTGGTTTTACCTTGGAAACACTTGCACTCAGAAACAACATAAGGTGTTATTGAACATCGCGAAGGGAAATCCTTCCTGACCTTTTCGTTAAAGATGCAAGGAATAGCAACAATTAACAAGCCAAATCAGTGCTGAATCCCCAAACGGCTGCCTGCCTAAGGGACCCGCCGGTTCATCCTCCGAACGCTACAATTGGCAGATCAGCGGCGGCTCTCATCGCTGCATTCACAGAGATCAAGTCAGTTCGAGGCTTAGCCCTTAGAACCATGGCCGGCAGGAAGAACCCACGAAAGGTCCGCAAGTCATGGGCACAAGTACTTTCAGTCGGCACGAAGACTGTTCAGTCGTGGGTACGAAGACTGTAGCGCCCACACAGAACAAGTGGTCACGAACAAGTTTGACAACCAAAAGGGTGCCGAACGCTCGATGGTGACACAAAAACCACCCAAAACAACCACCTGGACCCTCCAAAGTAGTCTAGAAAATGCGATATATATATAATATATAGAACAATGAACCTATAAAAACAGGTACTTGATATCATGATGGTACTTGTACCCATTTTCCAAGTTACTTGGAGCCTCCATCTGTTTTCTTTTTTGCTGAGCTGTCATCTCACTTTGTCTAAACTTGGCATTTGCAGTAATTACTGTTCGCAGCAGTTCCTTGCGCCCAAAGCCCAGAACATTCACCTCGTCCACCTCCACAATTTGGAGACTCGTGGGGCCGGAGTCTGACCATTGGCAAGCAGGACACCTTTGAGTTCATGTGTGACAACAGTCATACCCGATCATATCCGGTTCACGAGCTGTTCTTTGCATCGCGCATGGATAAACCCCTGAACTGGCTGAAGGTCTTCCATGGGTCACCGTGGCGAGACTGGTCTAGGAGGGTGAGGCTGTCTTAGACATCAGGTAGGCCTAAGGAGTGAATATGGCACCTCACCCCACCCAACCATGGTCTGGGTTGGCAGCCCGAACAGAGGCATGTGGATCCATACCCTACGGGTCAGGAACTGACCTCACTGGACAGTCACTGGACGTATGTCATCCAACGACTGACCATTGTAGCTGTGGATCAGGGGCAAACCCTAAGGGTGCAGGACCATCCAAATCGGATGTCCTGCCAGGCCCCAGTTCGACCATTCTCAGTACGTTCACCTTGGTTCGACCATCCGATTTGGATGGGCCTGGACCCTGGACGGGAAAGTGGGGCATGGCGTTTCTTATCCCTCGACGGTTTCGGCCATGGCGTCGGAGGGCAGGTTCCGAAGCAACGCCCCGGTCGAAGGATTGGAACTCCAAGTTCAAACGCGTTCCAACTGGATCTTCCAACCCCAAACGCCGACGGGGGCGTGGACCCGGGACGTACGGAGGGACCGGATCTGGACCGGATCCCAACTTCACCAATCCCTAGGGTTTTGGGAGGGACCAGTCGAGCTGTGAAGGAAAACGGAGCGTGAGCGTCTGGAGGGGTTCCCCGGGTCGGTGTGGATCCATCAAACCGCCGCTTTAGAACAGGTCGCTCTGAAGCCCAAAGGCAGGGAACAGGTCAGAAACTGCAAGGCACTGCAAGGTCTTGTTCAATGCCGCTATTCCCTAGGGCTCCTGGCCCATCTCCTCAGGAGATGGTTAGAGCCCCCTGGCACCCACCCCAACCATCTTCTCGGGAGGTGGTTGGAGCCCTAGGGATTTGGTCTCTTGCTTCTCTAGCTTTCCCTTCCAGTCGACGTTCAGATCCAGGTCAGGACATGGCAGTTCCGTGGGAAGAGTGGCAGGGGTACCACGCGGAGACACCGTTCGGAGCGGCGGAGTGGTGGTGGTGGTGATGAACATGGACACCTCTCTAAGACACCTCGAGATGGCCGGGGCGGGTGATTTCCAGCACCCAAACACGACGGACTGCCAGGACGGACTGCCAGGCCAGGGGTGGTGGGCCAGACTGCTTGGTCTGGCCGTGTCTCGGCAGTCCGTCCTATAGCAGGGATCGGTCGTGAGAACGGGTGTGATTTCCAGTTGGGGTCTTTCATGGGGCCTGCAAGCTATAGCTTCTTGTTCCGTTCGTAGCGATGGCCTCCAACCTGCTTTGCGATGCCCTCCAACCTATATACTTGCGATGGCCTCCAACATCCTCCAACCAACTTGCGTTGGCCTCTATAGTAGCTTCTACAGTCTGTAGTCCACTGTCACTCCATCAGTCGCGCATCCCCTCCCTCGATTTCGCCCAGACTCAGCTGGAAGACACTCAAGGCGGCTCGCCAGGAGCTCTGGCGGCCGCAGAGGCTGATCAGGCAATTCAACCCATTCAGGTGCACTTGCAAGGTCTGCTCTCCTCACGGAACCAAGTCCCAAGTCCAATCACTTCCACATGGAACAAAGAATAGGACCTCAGGGGAGCCCCCTCTTCCCCGTCTTCGGTATACCCGGAGGATCATTTTTGGAACCATTCAGAGGATCCTTTCAAGAAAACACTCACCTCACCAAGGGCCCTGAGAAAGAATCCTCCCAAAGTCGACTTCCGACCTGATCAGTTTCGGAATAGAAAGCTTCACCTTTTGTTCCTGTACGGATTTCAGTGGCAAAACCAATCGTTAAAGCTTTTTCCGGGCAGGACTTCTTCAACCGCTTCAATGAATTCAAGGGAACCACCTTCAGGTGAATCCTGGCTGTAGGCTGCATGAATTTCCACCACCCTTAGTGGACTCTTCCAGGTCCAAAAGGTCTCCCTCTAACAAGGAGAGGGACCTTCTTTTGGGTGACCTGACAAAAGGACCCGGAAAACCTCAAATACTCACACAGAAAATGGTCGAACTAACTCGAGTCCTTCAACATGAACTTGGGAACGCGGCACGAAACTTCGAAAACTGAAAAAGGGCCCATCCCTCCGCTCCGCAGTTCCGCGTTGCAGCGGAACCGCGTTGTTTGACGGAAGCCACCCGTTTCCGCTGACCGGCGAAAGCTTTGCACTGCCACGGCACGTGCACTTCTCAAAGCGTCCAAAGACCTGAGCTCGGAAACGGTTGATCCGAGGGCAGTGGAACGATGAAATTCGGAAGGAAAATCAACACCAAACACAAACTGACGCAACCGTTTTTGGGACTGCATTGCCTTGCCCTATATGTATACATGAATGGTGGGCGCGTCCTCGCACAAGGGGGTTGCTTGGACAAAGCTCAATGCACTCCCAAACACGACCTATCTAGAAACTGGCATCTTTTCCAGTCCCAGACAGCTCGTGTCTGGGATGTTTTTTCTTACCTTCGTCCAAGTCATTGATCCAATATGGCCCCAAGATAAAACGACTTAGTTGTTGTTTCACTGTATACAAGAGCTGGGTGGGTTTCGTGAAGAAGCTGCAGTTCAGTTCATGACCTCTTTGGGGTTATAAGTGATTCAAGCTCCGTTTGTGACCGAAAATCCTGGGATCTCAAGTTCGCTCACTTGGAAGACACATGAGCAGTTGTTTGTTGCAGGACGGCACGTTCTTCCAGAGGTTCCGTGACCCCATACGCGTTGAGATGAGTGACATACTGTGTGACATGTCAAAGGCTCCCTCCGATGAAGCGCTCGATACGGGTGATGTGTCACTCATCTCAACGCGATACGGGCCCTCCTTCCTCGTTCTTTCAACGGGCTTTGCTTTGTATGAACAGGCAAAAGGTGTAGTGACAGTTCTATGGTCTATTGGAGTGGTCCTTGACCGTCACACTCCTGGTGTCATGCTTGACTGTCACACTTCGACTTCAAAAACTCCAGGAATGACTGTGTTGATATGTGTTGATTCCTGTTGCAGGAAGCCATGGGAAGCCACGTCAAACCAAGTACCAACAAAGGTTGAAGATGGCTGAAGAACCCTAGTTCGACTACCCCAGTTGGGTACCCCAGTAGAGGTCGATCACTGAGTTCACCACTCCTGGTAGGTGCTTGCTTGGTGCAAGCGACCCGCAAACGTTCCACCCCGGTCGAGACCGGGACCCGAAGTTGGAGACCCCGTGTCCGCCGTAGCGTCGTGGCGAAGCGTTTCAGTTCGGTGGGACTAGGGTGGGTGGAGTTGGAAAGGTCCAGTCATAGCGAACCTGAGGAGGTACTAGCTTGGAGGTGTACGGACAGTGTTTTGAGTTCTAAAGGGTTCTATCATGGTCTATACCAGGACCCTCTAAGAGGTGCCCTGTCTGGAAGCCTATAGGTAGTGTGGGGTAGTCCATTGAACACCCCTTGGAGGGTCCAGGTATAATTGGTCGGTGTAGAAGCAAAGCGAGAAGAGAGATCGACCAAGTGGCGCTCTCCATGACTTTGGTCCACCTGGCCGCCGGCCACGCCGGGTGGAGAGAGACCGAGAGCTGCTGCAAAGGAGCGTAGAACGTCGACGTTTTTCAATTGGATTGGTTGACACCAGCCTATTATTCCTCTTCCCTGAAGTCCAAAGGCTATGTCGATGTTCCTTGGTGAAGTGAAGGAAGTTCAAATACCAAACACTCCATGGGACTGCCATAGGACGGACTGCCGCCCCAGACAGACCCCCCTGGCACGCACCACTCCTGGCCGGAACTTGAAGGCAGTCCGACCCTGGCAGTCCCAGACAGCTCGTGTCTGGCAATAAGTCCCTATTGGATCCACGGATCCACCGTACCGACCTGGTTGTACGACTATAGACCCTCCCCTGGCCGTACCAGCGCGGTGTCGAACACATCAGCGGGTCGGTTCGGTACGACTGGATCCTCAGGGTAAGGACCTCCGGACCTTCGGTCCCACACAACGGTCGGAAGGCGGAGCAAGACCGCACCTACTGGTCTCGGGGCGAAAACGACATCCCCGGGTGCGGAAAACAGGTGATTTCCACATGATGCAACATGAGCCCTCAAATGACTGGTTGGTGGTTGAAAAACTCGTTTGTTCCGTCTCAATCATCCCAAGCATCATGGGTTGAACCACCATCCACACTATCCACCATCCATCCATCCATCCATCCATCCATCCATCCATCCATCCATCCA